GAGGTGACAGTTCCTTGTGAGGTGACAGTCCCTTTGGAGGTGACAGTCCCTTTGGAGGTGACAGTCCCTTGGGAGGTGATGGTCCCCTGGGAGGTGACAGTTCCTTGGGAGGTGACGGTCCCTTTGGAGGTGACAGTTCCTTGTGAGGTGACAGTTCCTTGTGAGGTGACAGTCCCTTTGGAGGTGACAGTCCCTTTGGAGGTGACAGTTCCTTGGGAGGTGACAGTTCCTTGTGAGGTGACAGTCCCTTTGGAGGTGACAGTCCCTTTGGAGGTGACAGTTCCTTGGGAGGTGACAGTCCCTTGGGAGGTGACAGTTCCTCGCTGTTCCTCCCCACGTGCTGCTGCTGCTCAGCCTGGAGGACATCAGAGTATTTAAGTTCAGTGTGCATTTGCTTTTTCCTGAGTGAAAGCAGGTCTCAGCTCTGAACCACACCGACTCAGATGCAACCTTTTGGTGAACTGCAACAAACTTTACTGTATTAGAACATTAAGTAGGAAGGTGGTTGGGTTCTGTGTAAGTTATCCAAGAGGGAGCGTTAATCGACTTGTCTTTGGGGGTTTAAGGATTGTCCTGTTAAAGGACTAATAAATGCAGGTCACTTGTGCTAACATAGGGAATATTTGTATTTGTTCCATTTTGTGACTGCTTTTATGATGCCATCTTCTTTAGCCCATTAATTTGGACCTCTGAGCCTAGTCATGTAAAATAGGCATTTAGAAGTATAGAGAATACAGCTGGTAGCAGAGGACACTTGGGGCCTGATTCTGGAGACATTTTGTGGACTGCTCATGGAATAACCTGTCATTTGGGGTTAGACTGGCCTTATGATTATTGCATCTGAAAGGAAAACTGCTGCATATATACTTTTCTTCTGAGTTTTACTTTTAGTGACAAATACCATGGTAATAGTCTGTGTAAAATTTTTGTTTCCAGGTATATATCAAAACAATGTTAATCAAGATTTCAGTGTCTTCTAATCAGGTTCATTTCTTACTCTTGTCTGTAGCACAAAAGCATTGATTTGGTACTTAATGATTCAGGGATTTCTGCATTCACTAAGAGAAATCTGTTTGATTAATGTCTGGAAAGGAAATCCAATAAAGCTTCTGAAGTTTTATGAGGTCTTACTGTTGTTAACAAAATGAATATATTGGATCTAATCTCAGTGGACACTTCTCACTTTAAAAAGTGTGTTTTCAAGAAAAGTTGGTCCTAATACCAAAAACAATACTGTGGAAGGTTTGTATCTGTAGGCAGATTATACTGACTCTTTGGCTCTGGAATCACAAAAAATAGCAACTTCATTGTAGGCACACCTGCATAATGGTGAGAGGTGTGTGGGGACATCAGATTTTGCCATGAGGAAAGACTTCAGGCAGATCATAGCAGAGGAGGTCTATGGCAGGGTTTGAACAATGGGGGTAAGACAACAACGTGAACAGTTATTCTTCACATTTTCCCATACAAGTCCTGGATAAAGAACGGTTCTCAGAAAACTTTAAACCTTGTTTAAAAATATCTATACATGTAAAAATGGTTTGGCAGTAGAGAGAGTTTCAGACTTCATAAAATGCAGTGCACAATTTTATTTGATTCTGTTTCAGAGTAGTTATTGATACTCTTCATTGGTATCGTGAGCCATTTAATATTCAATTTACATGTCATGTGCTGAAGGTCTAATTTTATAGAAGAAAAGTCACCACCAGCAGGGGCAGTTTGCACTGTCACTGTAGGACTCCTTGGTTATCATAATCCACCAGAAGTTTGAAGCTTTGTGCCTGGTATTGTCCAAACACCTACAGTTTTCAATGTCATTAATTTCAGCAGGTCTTCATTAACAAAATGTGAAAGTGTTTTTATGTTAAGCCTACTGGTGCTTTCTAATGAAAACTAAATCCGTGTATATTTGAAATATAATCGGTTTAGTACTTAACTGCAAAACATAGGCAGTAAGTATAATGGAGATTTCTGTAATTATTTAATATTTTTCTTTTCACGTGTGTATGGTCCTGTATATGTGCAGCTGTGTTTGGATGTTTAGATGTGTTCTTGAAATACACTCTGCCTTCTGCAAAAGATCTCAGGAGCAGCTGCTGTCAGTCAGGCTGGGCTTGCCGGGATGTAGGAGGATCCTTCCCTTCTCCCTGAGCCAGGATTTTATTAGGCTCTATTGCAAACCAGAAGGATGCCAGCTCTGAAATGGTGATTTTTGGTTATTGCTACACAGAACTAGGATTTCTTTTGCTTTAAAGGTAGAGCTTTTGAAATCATATTGAGTTATTTGTGTGAGAGCTGTAGTTAGAGGAGAGATTAGCACTGATTTGCCGGAGATACCCAGGGATTGCTGGCTGGCAAATGGAACAGATCCAGACTCGGGGGTGTCCTGAACCAACCTCCTGGATCTGACAGTTACACTGGAAGTGGGGCAGGAGTCGCACCTTCATCTAAGGAAAAACCATTTTATCATATTGTGTAACCTGTGTCCTCCCTTTCCATTGGAGGACTAATTTAGTTCCCCAGCATTCAAACTTTCTGGGAGGCTTGTTTTAATTTTACAATGTAAGGTATTTCAGGGGCAGAGACCGTGTCTTATTTATTGCTTTTATGAGTCACTTAGTTCATTTTTGGATGCTTGACAGATAATAATGTATTTGATTGCATCTTGTGGTATATACCAGGTCTGGAGCAAAACAGACTTTCAACTCCGTAACAAAGTCTTAAGTTTGATTTACTGTTTATTCATTCAACAGCAGATGCAGGCCAGAATTCAGATCATTGAAATTCTATGACCTGACTCAGCCAAAGGCAATATAAAATCAAGTATCATCAGTGTACATCTCATAGTTCACACTGTAATGCTGTCTAGATTTTCATCATTAATGTTCCTGGACTAACCATGGATAGAAGAAAACTTGGATGGATTTCAGCTGGAAAATATTCACAGTATCTAGGAGTTCTATAGAATAACATGTTAATGGTTATCACTTTGCAGCAGTCTTTGTACACTCCATATTTCCCAATTGTTGAGCCTTACTATAATTAATCTCAATAAAACAAAACCTTTTCCCCCTTTTTCTCCCACCCCATGTAATTTGTTCTTGTGTGGGCTTTGGAAAGCTGTAGTTGTGGAAACATCAACAAATTAATTCCTAACAGAATAATTGAGCTGACAGCTAAAGAGATGCTCACTTTCTCAAGCACATAAAAAAACTAATTTTGTTAGAATTTTGTTCTCTGTTATTAACTTTTCCACTGAACGAAGCTGAGTCTAGTTCAGGGAGTTATGCACTGCTGGGATGCTGTTGGCCAGGTCTGGGGACATGATGTTCAGCTGAAGCAGCCGAGGGAGGAGTGCCATGTTCTTTTTGCTGCTGAGGGCCGTGCAGTGCAGCTCAGGACAGCCCCAGCTCTGTGTGTGTTCAGCCAAGTGACTCTGCCCGAGCTGTCACTCACGGCACGAGCCGGGGACGGGCGATGCCCGTGGGTGCAGAGGGTCAGAAAGCCAAGTGTGCAAGGCCTTTGGTTAAACCCCTGTGTCAGACACATCAAG